TGAATCATCGAGGAAAAATGGTTTGATTTGTTTCTTTTGTTGCAAATCATGCTAGTTCATCGATGGCAATCTGAATAAAAGTGCTGTACCAGTTTGAAAAAAGAAAATCTTCAAAAACGTAATCGACGACAATATATTAGTGAAATAATATGATCAGGTGAATTCGACCCTCGAAATGAACGAATAAGTGATGTAAAATGTTGTCAAATTCATGGACTTGTGAGAGAAAGCGTAATCTATGCATAGATTTGATGTGTCGTGTCCTGATGCCCGTGTTTACAAGTTGCTTATATTAAACACATATTAAAGAGGTAAGGCCTCGTGCCAACACTCACAGCCGTGATGACGATAAGTTGTGCATGTGGAACTCAGTTCTGCGTGCCAGAGCGGCACTTATTGTATACTATAGGAAATTTTCTGTCTACTGACATTTTAACTTGAATGAAAGCTCGTGAGGGACCATTTTATTAAGAGGCCATAATGTCAGTCGTAGTGATGAGTCGAATGTATCATTAACTTTGTTGAGCGTGTCAGAGCGACTAGTGAATAACTATAACTATACTTTGAGTCACTCATGCCGTTCATTGCGCAAGACTTCAATTCCTCTTTGGAAAATCCCACAATGACGGAATTTTTATTCACAAATTGTATATATAGCTTATTACTGCTATACTCGCTGTTATTTTAATAGAATCATATTCGCAATAATGTCTCGATATATGAAGCAACTAGCTTGCCGTTTTCATCCCGAGAGCGTTTTGATTGAAGACTATCGTGCGGGTGACATGATATGTCCCGACTGTGGTCTTGTTGTCGGTGATCGAATGATCGATGTCGGTTCGGAGTGGCGAACATTTAGTGTGAATGATGGAGACCAAAAAGATATGTCGCGTGTGGGTAGTCTCGAAGAGCCGCTATTTGACGGTCTTGATAGTTTTGCAACAGTAATGAGAGATCCTAGTACACGTGACAAATTTGGAAAAGGGAAATATAGAAGTGAACAAATGTCAACAAAAGAAAGAGTACTTCGAAATGGTTTTGGCTCAATTCAAGCTATCGGCGCAAAAGTAAATTTAGAGAAACGAATAACTGAGCGTGCTAAAGTTATCTTTAAACAATACTATGAACAAAAACATTCAAACGGTCGGAACTATGATACTATTGCTGCGGCATGTATTTATATTGCGTGTCGAGAACAAAAAATGCCCAGAACATTTAAAGGTGAGTGGAGCCGAGTAGTGTTCTAGGTACAGAATCGGATCACTTGGTCAAAGTTCCTCAGCATTTAGCGTAGTTCTTAGCCGTTTTTGATTCGACAAACGAGCTATTGGATATCATGATAAAGTCATCCCTTGTCTATCAGCTAATAAAATGTTTTTGTGAAGATCCCGGTTCCTTTTTTGAGCTGTACTCAGACAAAGGAGAGCACTCTAAAAGTGGGTCGATCTGACTGATCCATCTAAATACAGGGAACATTTTTAGTTACAAAATCTCTGATGTTTTTGGACAGAGATTTCTGAAACACTCATTCTGCGTTTCATTACCCATAACATATGCGAAAACTGCATCTCGCCAGTTCAAGATCAACAAGCTCTGCGATCTTAAGCACTTTGATTGACGTGTGTGATAATCTCATCTCACATTAAAAAAGTTAAGCATTCTAATGTGTTTTTCGGTATCAATTTGACCAAGTAACCCATACGACCAAATCTAGAGAAACTATCTTGTGATATTCACTATGATATATTTTAGAAATATGTGCAATTTCACATTCATCAACGAAAGGGATCGCACGTTGTTATAAACAGCTAATTGAAACTTTATCAAAAACACCCGAGGCAACGGATTTGAAAAGTCTTGTGCCACGTTTTTGTAATCATCTTGGATTTAAGAAGGAAAAGTTAATCCAGAAAACTGCTCAGCATATTGTAGAAAAAGCATCAGAACTATGTAATATACAAAGTCGATCGCCAACAGCCATTGTTGGTGCCTGCATTTATATGGCTGCGATTGCGTGTGGTGAAGAGAGACCATTGAAAGACATTCAACAAGCAACTAGTGCGACGACTATACGTCAAGCATATCAGATTCTGTTAACAAAAGTCACAGAACTATTTCCACAAGATTTTCAGTTTAACGTTTTACCGTCAGATTTTCCTACTTTATCAAATAGAAAAGCGAAGATCACATAATTGACGTCGAACTCGTCGGATAAAAATACGAAATGTTTGCACATTAGATTCCAGTTATATTAATTACTTGAAAAATAATGTATTATAGCCCTATTCATTGTACATATGATGAACTTAATATTTCAAGAGAGAAAAGAATAGCAAGAACTATTGGAATAGCTCAATTCTCTTGTCTATTTGAATTTTATAACATTTTTCGGATTGTGCTGCGCTATCTTGTTAAACAGTCTGATACTTTTTCGTTGCTTTTCAACTACTTAGAGCAACTGAACTCTAATAGTAGAAACGTTCTGGTCTCATCTAGTAGGCTCCTTTAGATAATTTTTTGATCTTGTTCTATTTCTATCTGACCTTTCTTATTTCTGTTTTATTTCTCGATCATTTTGTTTGTATGCTTTTTCTCTAAAAAAGGAATATTTTTACTGTTTGATGAACATAACAGTTCAGTCATTGTAATTTTTTACAGAGTACTCGGAATAAAAGTTCATTATATAATCATATTTATTCAGTTGTGCATTGATACAGGAGACTTTGAAACGATAAATTCTTGCACTTTTGGTTCCGTTGCAGTGTTCTGAGCGCATTAAGATTAAAAGACACTACAAATGTTACTGTCGGTGTAGACTTCGATTCCTAAAGGGTTTTGAATTAAATGTGGTCTACGTCTAATACACTAGCGAAGTGGAAGTTTTATGCTCTGCAATTCATGACCACTCAGCTACAGTGTTTTGATCATTCGTTATGGTCAAACTTGGTGCATATACAGCGGGGAACTAGTTTATTTCACGAAGCAGCGGATAGAACAGCGAAATGGTTAACGGACGGAAACTCATCGAAAAATCAAAAGCTTGGGAAATTCTCATTGACTTAAAGAAATAAATCCTGATTATCTAAAGTAGTTGTCTTCGTCCAACTGATACCTTTTCATACAATCCCAGTATGCTGTCGCAAGTCTCTGGCGAGTTTTAGTTGACGTTAAAGTGTCAATTGACAGAACTGTCCTGATATTATTAGAAGTGTGCCGCTCTGGCACGCAGAACTGAGTGCCGCATGTCCTTATCATGACTGTGAGTGTTGGCACAAGATCTTTTTTGTTTTGTTTTTCGTAACTTGTTTTTGTTTCAAAAAAATACTTTATTACAAGAGAAATGGAAAGCGCGTCACATAATATCTATTCTCTAGAAATAACAAAAACAACTCTTATGTATCGGTTTTTCATTTTGTTTCTTCAATCTAACTCGGCCAACAGATAAACGCATAAGCGTAGAAAAATTCAAGAAAAAAAAAGAGTTTGTTTAAAAAAGTTTTAAAGAAAAAAACAAAAATGTGCGAGAGAGCGAGAGAGAGATACTTATATCTGAGTAGAAAGACAAACACCGTAATAGCAGTATCATACGAAAAGAGTTAAAGTTCATGATGTTAAATTTGTAAATAAATAAGAAAACCAAGAAAATTATGTACACAAAAGGCATAAAACGCAAATATATAAAACTATATTAAACATAGTATTGTCAAACACATTTAAATACATAGATAAATTCATCGCGATTGATAGATGAAGATCTGTGAAAAAATAAAACCTCTCTTCATTTATTTATTTGTTGTATGCTCTGAATAATAGATTTGACTTCTTCAAATAACGACCATGTTCCATAATCAGTACTAAATCACGCAAATTTGCACGACAAACACGCTTACGAGTTGAAGCTTTAGTAGATGTAATTTCTGGTCCACTTTGATTTATAGCATCATTCGTTCCATTCAAATCATCTAATTTTTTGCTTTTTACGCTGACCAACAGCTGTCAGAGCTGTTTCATGCGCTTCTTTTTGTCGTTGTTCTTCAACTTGAGCTTGTTGCATCTCTTTGGCTTTTTGTTTTAATTTTATTGCTTCCGGATCATTTGTTTTAGATCTGCTTTTAAGTGCTCTAAGAATTTTTTCTTGTTCAGCCTTTTCTTTTCGCTGTTTTTCAATTTTATCGAGTTCTTCTAGAAAGCGAATTTGTGCTTTTACATCGCCGATTTGCTCATACGATGAATCATTTTTCATTGCTAAATCACATCGATGCTGTGTAATTAATCGATCATGTTTTTAATCTTTCTCGAGTGGCATGAGATATCAGTGTCAGAGAATCCTCCGACATTTCTGGCATTTGTTTATTACTAGCTAATTCTTCCGCTTTCCGTTTTAAAGTTTGAATAAAAAAGTCTATGAGAATTTCCCAAGCTTTTGATTTTTCCATCATATCTCAACAGTCATTTAGATTTTGAATGGTGATAGTAGAATCTACCACGTTTGACAGAATGGCCGAGTAGAATTCAGCAGTAAAATGTTGCCAACGCCAAACATTTGTGGCTCAGATATATTTCTATCTTTTCATACACAATTCGTGTTCATTAAAAATGAACGATAACAACGTAAAAGAGAATAATAACAGCAAACAACAGTGATAATTCTAATTCAGTATAAAAAAAGAATAAAATTCACGTTAACAAGTTTGAGAAAGAAATAGAAAACATCGTTGGTTCGGTAAAGAACAATGATGCACCAAACTTTGCCTGCACAATGAAGGACATAATGGGATTGTAATTAGAATTTAAAATAGAAACCAATAAACGAAAACAAATTTCTAATTATTTGGTTTTTTTCAGTCAGACTCGTCTTGTTTCTCTTTGTGTTTCTTTTTCTTTTTCTTCTCACTTGTTGTCGGTACGGTTTCGCTTCCATTAGCTGGAGTCTAAATGAAAGTACAGGAATATCTACATAGATCTCTTTAGATGCCATATGTGTAAGAAAAATGCACTGAGTAGATAGGTCATTCACAAGCTAGTAATATGAACGAAGTACTTTTTGCTCAGGTGATAACTTGATCCGTTCTACTTTCATGTGGATCAAAAGGGCTGTTCTAGCAAAAAGTCATGTTAATAGTACACTTTTGTAGGGGTAAATTTCACTCTATATTAGTCAGTTGAAAAAAGCAACGTCTTTTTGTACAGCAGAAAGGCTCATTTCATGTTTGTCATACAAAACACATGTTTTTAAAAGTATAGTGTGAAAACTTAACTAAGGATTATTCAATAGACACTATGACATAATTCGAATCTCACTTCTGATTAGCGGCGGTACCAGGAATTGTAGCCAGGGTGGGCACAGCCCGACTGTACTCGGAAAAGAAAAAGGGTAGTGTTTATTTTTCCCAACCAAGTTAATTTCCCTCTCTACCTACGCCGCTCTTAAACTTTCATACAGACAAGAAAAGCCACAGAAAAGAAAAAAAAATTTTTCAGAGTGGGCTCAAATGGTTTGAGGGTGGGCCCACCCGTGGTACCGCCACTACTTCTGATGTTTATCCATGTTTTCTCGAAAATTGTACATGAATAGAACCAGCTGTTGAAAAGAGAAAAGGCTATTTTGGACAAACGTATCCTTTTTCCTATAGTTAACATTAAGCTCTTTTCTACCCAAGGGAAACGAACAACATTACTTTGCAGAAATGTCCATCAACTGTACCTGCACTTCTTCTGTTGTATCGTCTATATCCGCCTTCTTCTTTTTCTTTTTCTTTTCAGATTTAGTTTCATCAACAGGCGACGCTACACTTTCGTCTAAAGGTCTCTATAAATCAGAAAAGTTGTTTTTGTTTAACCAAACTGCACTCATGAGAATGAAAACTTACCTTCTGTACAGTGCTTTGTTGATTGCTATTAGATGCGTGTTGTGCACTAAAAGAAAACAGAATAATGCGGTATCTGCGATGATGACAAATTTATTTTCTCTTTTGTTTAAAAGCTTTCAGTAATGGACAGAATTCTGAATCGTTTATTCATCTCTGCAAGCATTTACCTTACCTAACATCATACAACATATCTCTCCAGTTTTTAGGTGTTGTATCATTTGGTTTTCCGTATTGTCCGAGTATACCTTCTTTGATCATTAATTTTTTCTTCGATGCCTATAAGAAAGAAAGCAGAAGAATTAACGACTGAATGTGGTCTGTTCATAGCACACTCCTTATACTACACTACTTGAAAATTTTCGATCTCCTCATACTCTCTGAAATCGTTCGATGATGACCGCTGACTCGCCATAGCATTCATAGATCAATCAGGCTATACGTGGAAAATATTCTATATTGGAAACAGTTATCATATGAATTTACTTACAACTGGTCCATAACCCCATTTTCTTGGATATAAATCGCGTTCCATAACAACTCGTTTTATTTTAGCTGCAACACCATGATCGCATGTCGACATGGTCGCTGTTGTCATTAAAGCAATGCCTACAAATAAGGAGAAAGCATAGACGTTTTCCATAAGAATTTGATACCGAAACATTTTCCATAAAAAGTTTATTATTTCAGTTCACAGACGGCACTAATATTTCTTTATATTTTAAGCAGCACATGGACATACCAAGTGCAACAGCTTCTCCTTTGGTTGTACATATCACAATTTGTTCATCGATTTCTATTCCATCTTCATAACGTAATACACCAGGCACCAATAGTTTTGCTCCGTAACACACAGCATTCACCTGAAAAATATCCGAGAATGAAAATGCAAAAAAAGGCAACACAGTTTGTTTCTTGTGTTGATGTCGAGATATAGAATAACTTCAAATATAACTTACAGCACTGTCTTTGACTATAATTCGTTTATGAGAAACTAATAATGCTTCTAAGGGTTTAATAACTCGTCTCAAATATGTTTCATCTTTGTTTTGAGCATATGCGTATTGAGCATCAAGTACATCATGCATTGTAACCATTCCTTCCTATGTAGAAAAACCTACATACAACGATCTATTTGTAAAAAAAATCAAAAAATGTTCTTACCGCTTCAGACTGAATTCCCGATCTCACACGTCGAAGTTCCTGCATAATGCCGCCAACACCCAATAGTAAACCCATATGGACACATAATGTTCTAATATATGTACCAGCTTCACAACTAACCCAAAATATTCCTAAAACATTAGGGAAAATAATCTATTAGAAATTTTACAACAATTAACTACGTATTAAGTAAGACAGTTTTTTCTAACTATTTTGAGATTAGTGAACGCGGAAAATACCATAAACTTTTAAAACGAAGTTTTTCTTCGCGACATACTAATTATGCTATTATGTTCAACATAAACGATATAAACTAATAGAAGATAAATCGTTCTACTTTCACCAATAATAAAACCTACCAATATTTCGATTTTGATCGTATTCTAACAGTTTACTTTCATAAATTGTCCGAATTCTCAATTGGCGTTTAACAGCAGCGATGACTGGTGGTTTTTGAAATACAGCACCAGTCAAAGATTCAAGCGTCTATAAATAAACAAATATAAAATAAATTATTTTCAAACAAATACAACACTTACTCTAGCAACTTTTTTAACATCATCAATAGGTGAATGAAACCTAACAATTCCAATGTATTCTTTTCCAGCACTTTGTTGTGATTTAACTAAACGTGTAGCTCGCTCAATACAAACAATTAAACACCCGGATACTTTTGGATCTAGCGTGCCTGAATGACCCGTTTTTGTTATTGGTAATATTTTTTGGAATATACGTTTTACCCACGCGACAACTTCATGAGAAGACGGATTCACTGGTTTATCCAAATTTATAAAACCAGATCTAAAATAAAAAGTATTCACGTTTATTCGCAACAGTAGTATATTGCAAAAAGACAATTTATACATTGGAATGAAAATCTGTTTGATACATCAACTGTAAAGGTGCTATATTTTAGAAAAAAGAAAGAATCCGTAAAGACATATCTTAAGATAGATGTACTAATCACTCAGCCCGTATAATTGTTTACGCAACGCTGCAATCTATTCATATGATAAAGGAGATTGCATAGGGAAATTACGTACTTGACATAATCTTCAATGGAACGTTTTAGTGGTGAGCAACCAGATGGTATAGCTAATTATGAAAATCGAAAAACAGTTACATGTTATGATTCTGCCATTCGTACATGAAAACTTACGCGTATAGTGGTTCGTCCGAACATTAAGTTTGTCGAAGTTCTAAAACAACAAGAATTATTTATACTGAAGAACAAAAAAATTACTTATCTACCTTGAGTAATAATGGCCAATCTGACGTATTTAACGATCCAGATTTGTCTGATGGTGCAAGAAAGAATTGACTTTTATGTTGAATATCCTTGAACAGAAATAGAATTTGCAGTTCCAGCAAAATATTCTTTATTAACTTTACTTACAGCAACAGTGTTAGTCATAACCAATAAGTAATAATAATAAAAAGTAAAACTATCTTAAATGGAATGATCTAAGTGTTCAAGTATACCAGTTGGATATAACAAGTGCAAAGTGACCAAGATGTATGTAATCCAAATCGTTAGGCCACCAACTGACCAATAAACAATTGCTGTCTTTCTTACAGCAATCAATTATTGTTTCTATAATTATCTACTCCTATCAGAGACCAAAATAATGAGAAAAAAAGCGAAGTATGTTTGTGGCCAAATCGTGCGAAACAGTGGGTGCATTTTCAGATCTGTTAAGAAATTAAGAGTGTGTGTATTCTGGAAATCATTTTGTGATTAGAAGTGTGACTTTAGATCGAAGTTTCCGCGTGTGAAAGTTATCTGGAAAGAAAATGAATGCTTTAGTGGATAAGCTAGGGCCTTGTAGTGGTAGAATGCTTTGAGAACAACTTACACAAAAAAACAACTGGAATGGTAGAAACCGCAATACCACAGAGATACCTGTGGTTTTGTTTTACAAAGAATAATAAATAAATAAACACACGAAAGAGAAAGAAACAGTATAAACGGCAAATCACTATTTTCAATTGATAGAGTTACTTGAACTAACCAATAAATAGGTCAAGACCTAATTGATGGAACACCGTAGAAGCGAAACTTGAGCGATTTTACTTTAAAAAACTACAAAGTTTATTTATGTCTACTGTTCTTTGAAAAAAGAGGCGATATCCTTCATCCGTGAGTCACTCGTACTATCAGTGATCGACAAACAGGTGAATATTTCTTTGTACTAATAAACTTCCGCCAATCAATGACAGATAAACACAAGTATGAATTAAGAGGTCAGGATATGCTATGTGTAAAAGTTAGATGTAATCGCTATCAACTGAGCTCACGTCGGTTGTGCTGCCTCAGTTGTACTCTTCACGCCTGGTTGACTGTGGCCGAATCATCCTATAATGAGATGTTATACGATGGGAGGAGAAAATCATCCCATGAAATGAAGTTCGTCATCAAATCTCGTAGGATCCACTATCGAAAAACTTAAACGTGGTCCGACCGGAGGAAAAAACTTTTCGGCCGAAGTTGATTCGACTAAAAGCCTGGCCCTTGCCAACCTCTGGCTCGAACCAGTATTAATATAACAAATTGAGTCGAGTAGTTGACAGGCGAAACATATAATGCAATCAATCGTTGTCGGTAGAATTGAGACTAGCATCTGACACTTTGTTTCCATTCGATGACAAATTTTTAGCACATATTTCTTTTACAACATACGCTCTTTCATATTTTTCTTTCGATTTCCGGTAATAAGAATTATATGTTGCTTTTATTCAAGTAGAATAACAATGGATATTCTCACCTCGCCTTTTCAGGGATGTCAAGTTTCCCAAGTAAAAATGATTTTTTGGGTTATTTATCTAGACTCAGTTCCACGTGCATCTAGATGTACGGGAAACTGAATGTAGATAAATAACCCAAAAAATTGGATCGTTTTTGCTTGAGTTCGACCTTCCCTCTAATAAAGCAACTTTGATCTGGTTTTTCTATGCCTCTACAGAGTTTACACCACCGTTGGACATACCACACGAAAGAGCACATCGAGTAGTACAAATACTAATATTGAAAACTTATCCTAGTGCATAGTACTTTTTACAATGGCAGGCCAGCTGTCACAAAATGGCCGAAAATGAAAAAATACCACTCAGTATTTCACCTTTTCTGAAGGCAAAACAAAACAAAAAGTTCTTGCACTATAGATACAAATGAAGTTAAAGAGCTGATTAATCCAATAAAAAAAGTATAAGGTCGACATCTATCTTCCTCTTTGAGTATGCAGCCCATCTTTGAAGATCTTTTTTTAAAAACAGTCAGGCCCCATAGCATAAAAACTATACAGTAGAATTTTTTTGTTTTTCTCCCATTTGTAGAGTACAAAATGGCATCAAAGATATTTTTGGCCCGCTTCGTTTTCATCGTCTTTACCCGATTCACAAAAATCAAAAATATCGATTACTGCTTTAGCAAAACTGTCAAATCGCTTTTGACGTAAAACTTAGTGGGCAATGGGTAACCGAGCATGCTGATTCCGAAAATGACGATGGTTTTTGTCAATGCGTCTTTGAAGACCCCGGTTTTTGAAAAACTGGGTTTTCGCAATGAAAAACTTTTTTGAACAAAATTTTTTTTGATCCGTACAAATGAAAGCGCATGTTCTAAAATCTACGCAAAACTATTTTTTAAGATTTTGAAACGGTTTTGAACAGTTTTTAAAGGGTCAAAACTTAATAATACAGCCAAAAAACAGCTTTTTATTGCGCTACGCTTTTATGACCTTTTAAAAACTGTTCAAAACCGTTCCAAAATCTTAAAAAGTAGTTTTGCGTAGGTTTTAGAACATGCGCTTTCATTTGTACGGATCAAAAAAACTTTTTGTTCAAAAATGTTTTTCATTGCGAAAACCCGGTTTTTCAAAAACCGGGGGCGCCAAAGACGCATTAGCAAAAACTATCGTCATATTCGGAATCAGCTTGCTCGGTTACCCATTGTCCACTAAGTTTTACGTCAAAAGCGATTTGACAGTCGGGGGCCTTCCCTCGTTAGGCAACAAACGATTGTACGCACACTAGATCCTAATATCCTTAAAAAGTTCTTGCCTTTATAATGAAATTACATCTCTACCAGAACTGATTATATAATGGAAAAGAATCCGTGTTAGGACTGTAAAAGTTCTCATTACGTTGCCGTTAAAGTAACGATAACTGCCTTTTCAGTTAGTATTAAACCAACAGTATGAAAAGATAATTACCGTTACTTTAACGATAACTGCGTTTCCAGTACCGTTGAGAAAACGGTATTTATGATAACTGTTTCTGTCTCCTTATTGTTCTGGATTTCTCATAATCATATTTTGAAAATTAAGTCTATGCAAATAATCGGACACACTAGAAAGGTGCCCGCTTCCCTTTTCAATGATTTATATCTCGATCCATAGAGGATATCGAGTTAGTAAAAACTCTAAAAGGATTTCAGCCCATGATGCTTTGTTCAAAAGCTAGAGCAGTTTTTCTATTTTTTCCTACCGAAATACGGAAAAATTAACATAAATTCATATTTCTGTCAATAAAAGTAGTTAAGAACTTAGGAAAATTGTTGTGAAGCTCTACTGGTCAAATTCATATTCACTATTCATATTCATAGGCACTTTTTTAGAAGACAATATAGGGTAGCTCTATTACCACCGCCGGTAGTGTCAACAAGAAGCTATTGCCACCACCAAGAGGTGTCAATTAGGGCCACTGACACCATCCGCTATCAAGCAAAATTAAAGAGTAGGTGGTGTCAATAGAGGCCTGCGGGACCAAACGTTTGTGGTCCCGGCCCCGTGAAGAAAAAATTTTTGATTCCGGTCCCGATCCCATGAATACTTTTTCAAAGTAGCACTGATAGTTTGAAAGTCAGCGCGTTGTAACGTGACTCATGGAACAGCATGCGTGGGTGGTACTAATTAAAGACTTTTACAATTTTCTATGAGTTCTTTCTCGTTGAACTGGTGTCTACATATAAACAAGCCCAGAAACTAAAGAATTTTTATGCTCTATACAAGACTATTTTCAAAAAAACCTGATCCCGGTCGAATTAAAAGTCCTGTGAAACCGGGACCGTCCCGCAGATCTCTAGGTCCCAGTTCCTGTCCCGTAAAAAAGATTTTTCTGGATCCGAGTCCCGTAGAAAGTCTCGCGGGACTGGGTGGTCCCGCAGACCTCTAGGTGTCACCTACGGCTATTGACACAAAAGAGTCACAAAAAGTGTTTATAGTGCATTTTTTGAGTCCAACAAGCACTTCTATGTCACTTGGAGCAATCAAATTTTTTCTCTTGTGTACAATTCGGTTTCCGTCCCCAATCTAGCACCGTTGATGTACTCCTCCATGTCACCACTGACTTGAGTAAGAATCTTGAAAAAAGAAATAAGGTCATAGGGATGGCGTTTGATTTCTCAAAAGCATTCGACATGGTACCCCATCTAAACACGGTAGATGGGTACACCATCTAGACAAGGTACCCTACTTCTCACAAAACTGTCCCTAGCAGGTATCGATGGGCATTCCACCAGTAGTTCAGCTCCTATCTCTGTGAACGGAAACAAATTGTTTCCGTTAACAATAAACGATCCAGTTCAGTATCTGCAGTCTCAGGAGTCCCCCAAGGAAATATATTAGGTTCAATCCGTTTCCTCATTTTTATCAATGACCTCCCCAGTATTTTCCCTCCTTTAACGACTGTTTGTCTCTTTGCTGACAATATTTTTCTTCTTGTCCCTGTGCACGATTTTAGAAATTTAGTAAATGCTCAAAATGACCTGGATGCGATATCTGACTGATGTGACAAAATGTTAGTAAAACTAAACATCGACAAGTGCGTTTTTATGCCCTTCTCAACAACTACACCGCCTTCTACCCTAGGAAGTTCGCTTTTCTTATCAGGACAGGCTCTGGTTAAGGAAAACAATATTAAGTTCTTAAGAGTTTTTTTCACAATCTAACATGGAAATTTCATATTTCTAATGTAGCTAAAAAGTGTAGACAGATGTTAGGCGCAATACACCGTACATTTAACAGCGCAAAATCCTCTCTACGTCTTCACATCTTTGAAACGTGCATATGCCAGTCATGGACTATTGTTCTGTTGTTTATGATACTACTGCAAAAATGCATTTACACCCACTAGCTTCTGTTCAAAAAAGTGGCAGCCAGAATAATCTGTAAGGAATATGAAACAAGCAGTTCATTACTGATGAACGAATTAAATTTTCCTGATTTAATTGAAAGACGAAAATATTTTCGTTTGTTACATTTTCACTTTTTTGACGACGACCGTGAATGGTCGAAATATCAAGTTTTGTAGAATAAAATTCTAATATTAGCTGCAATTATCATGAAACTATCAAATCAAAACCGTAATTTTATAATAACTAATGAAAACTGACCTGGAGAGACGAAACAGTCTGGATTTAAACTTGAAAAGATGTTTTATATCTAAAACTAGGTTTACAGTTCTTTCCTTTCGACTCTGGGATAGTGAGTGGATGGAAAACATTTTTTCATACAGAAACTTTTAAGTTTAGAATCAAATAAATCAGACTTAAATTTTGTCATGGGGATTTTTTGCAAAAATAAGTTTGAGACTTTAAGCGTCTCTTGTAACAGTTACGGTATATCACAACAGAAACATTTTCAAAAAACTATGGGACAAACACAACGGAACAAAAAAGCCCGTAAAGTTTTTTCACAGGACAGACGGGTTCGGGACAACATTATTCACTCACTGACTCGGGTTTATGGGTTCAGGGCAACAGAAAACTTTCTCCTGCAGGACTGTAAAACTTAGACCATGGTTTCGCTACCTTAAATTATTTTTCACTACCGTAGGCCTTTTGGATATGAGTTACTTTGATCTTTGCGAACCCCACACCACACAGTTTGACCAGGCGCCAACACCCATGCAAATCGAATGCGTTTGAAGAAACGCCCACAAAAAGTGTAACAAAATTTATACTGTTTTTAACTTAATTCACCAAAAGCGTATTTAGCCAACACTGATGGCAAATGTGGACTCTCCATAGTCGATTACCTTGTTCGCAACAAGTTGAATCCGGGTATTCTAGAAAACATTTTCTCAATTGTTTTGCAAAAGAATTTTCTACGAAGTTTCTGGAGAGGACCAAGGGCTGAATGAGATTGAGAAATTTTTCTAGAGTACCCTTATTCAAAACTTGTTGCATACAAGGTAACCGAGTATGGAGAATCGGAATCTTCAATCAGTTTTGCTACTTTAAACATGCTTTAAAATTTCGCGACTGAGTTGATATGCAAAAGACTTTAGATTAGTTAAGTGGAAATAAAGTGAGAAAAGGTTCGACATATTCATTCAACGAAAAAAATATTTTTTTCTCTCATCTTGTTATTTATTCTCGAACATAAGAAATGAACTACAATAACCGAATATATACGGCAAATCGAGATAATCCCACTGTATGCCGGATTCTACACGGCGATTAAAAAAGCTTTAATATTGTTGAGCGAAAAGTCGATTAAAATAAAAGATTTTGGAGTGACAATATAATGTTATAGAAGTAATATGATAATTAATAAGTACTAATAAATAGTAAATCTATAATACAAGAATTTGATAAAAGTGAGTTTCAGACTACTTAATAATAAGATCTGCTATATACAATTCATTCAATTGTAGCACTGTGTTTGAGTTACGGACGGTGTTCTATTCTGAAAAGACAAACTGAATACCAAATCATAATCATCGTAACCTCGGTGAACACATCTAATACATTTGCACATTCAGAAATTTTTTTATAAACGTTTTATTGTAGATCATACTGATTTTTCTTCTTGTTTTGAAAAAAAAATTGTTGGACTTTTTGATGAAATCTTGCTTCTGGCTATTCTATACAAAAGTGTTTTTTCACTAAAACTCATGAGTTTTCTTTTTAGAGATTATGTTATAAGGTATGCTATTCAAAAAGACTTTTAAAACTATTGAACAGATTGTTTAGCAATACTGAAGTGACGAGATAACCCTATTGTGTTGTTCTTTCTCTTTTTCTGCTATTTTACAACGAAACATGTAATGATGTTTTACTCTATATTTGAACACAATATAGATAGTAGAAAAAAATACAAAATATTGCAGGAAAAAAAAGTAAAGAAGCTTACGATCAAATTTGATATATTATAGAAAGGACAGGTAATAATAAATGGACGAAAAGGGAAGAAAAAAGTATAAATTTTGATCAAATTATTATTTCCTCCAGAAACGTTACACTATGTATATGTTTTAGAGTTTTTCTGAATTCTTGATGTTTATTTATTCTTCAGTTTTCTTTTTTAATTTTGAAAGTGAGATATGGGATGCGGATCTTTGGCAAATCAACCAGAATGTTCAATTTCAGCAAAAAATCGATTTACACAGAAGGATATTCAAATTTTGAGAGAAACATGGACAATCATCAAAACTCATTATGATATGAAAAAACTAGGTGATGATATAATGAACAGGTATCAGGCGAAGCATATGTTTACAATTTTTTTTTTTGCTATGATAAAGAAACATTTCGTATTTTCGAGAAAAAGCTTTATCTAAGGTACATAAATTCGATTGAAGCAAAATAAGTATTTTTCTATTAATTTGTAGAACTTTACAAAAGTTACCATTAGTGGAAAGTTTCTGGAGAAATAGTGTCATTGTGGAAGGAAATAATCTTAATTTTGGTGAATACGATTCGTGTCTGAAAACGGATATGAGTTGGAAATTAGAGTTTCAAAATCATGGACTCAAGTTATTAAGAAAGTTGGATGAGGTATTATTACTGATTAATGATGACACTCTATTAAAAAATACAATTAAACAAATAACAAATATTCATTTGAAGAATGAAGTCAATGCTGAACATTACACAGTAAGATCGACTGTCTCATAGTTTGACTATTCGTTTAATTAATACAATAAGTTATATGTCACAATTTTTAGCATTTTCTTTGTAAAAGATTTTGATTTCATTTAAAAACACCAGCTAGAACTGAGGAAATTTAAAATTAAGGCAGACATTCGCATAAAGATTTTTCTTGAAAAAATGGATCAGATATTGCTAATTTTTAACACTAGAATGTCCGGAAATTTTCATGACCTAGAACGCCCAAAGCGGTCATTTTGACCGTTACTGTTTTTTTAAATTTTTATAATTAAAAATGATTTTGAATTTAAAAATGAATTAAAAATTCTGCAAAAAAAAAATTTTTGGAACAAATTAAAATTTATGGCATAATTTATTTTTAAATAAATTATATGCAGTTTTATTAGGATAAAAATCAAAAACGGTCAAAATGACCGCCACGGGCGTTCTAGTGTTAATTATTTCACAATAAGCACAATGCTGATTATTTAAGAGCATATAGTGATATGACTTCTATTATTTCTTCCCTTTAGATTATTAAGGAAATTATTGTTGATTCATTTGAATGTCGACTAACCGGCATGAATTATAAATTCAACAGCAAGCATAGAAAGATTTGGAATATGTTTATAGAATTTATAGTCGAAATTATGATGGACTCTACGACGTCAAAATGAATGGACTAAGCACGAAATCAATAGTATCTAGTGCTGTGGATATACTAACATTTCCAAATGAATGTCGATTCTTACTAAATTAACTGTGACTGTTGCTCATTTCTTTGTAGAAAATATTGGTTAAGAGATGTGATACACCAGTTATAGATTTCTTCTTCACTCAACATACAACTAGTATTCCAAATTAAACATCTCTATAGTACTGTATTTTTTACCCTTTTTTGTTCATAAAAAGAAAATTGCATCAAGAAGAGCAATAACAACAAAAAAAAGTATGTATAAGACGGCAGAAAAAGAAAAACGAAAGAAAATGACGAACAATGTCAAATAAAAAAAAATCACGAAAAAAATGTTCAATCATAATAGCAACAAAAATATAAGACAAAAAAAGCTGATAAAAGAAAAATTTAACATAATTGGTAATCGCGAGTATATGTTGTTCATTTTTGTTAATAATAAAACTCAATGATAAGAAAGAACCGGACAGTGAGATGTATAGATAGAAATAAAAAACAATATGGTCTTTTTAATGATTTGATAGTTGATTTTTACGTGGATGTTGATATTTCTACATTAGAAGCATGATATAATTGTATTTGTTGATTATTACGTTCATTTGTAAGTGAAAGTAAGGCTAATTTTTTTTCTTCATCCATTAAATCTTCATTTTGGAAATCGGGAACATATAAACATGGATCAATTTGACGTGGAACTGGTTTTATTTCTGTTCGTAATTCTTGTTCGATTTTGTGCAAAGTAAAACTGAAATTTAAAACAACATAAATATCAAGATTCAATATAACATCAAAATATCAGATAAAGTTCATGTGTATATTTTATAAGAATAACGTGAAAGAAAACATCCAACTCGGAAAGAACATTCATTTCTGCTCTGGTGTTTAAGAGGCGGGCAGTATTATTTTGATGATACTCATACTACTACCCATAGTGTGAAATATTCTATAAAATTATTCGAGTACTTCTTTAATTGGACAAAAACATTTGTTTAGTATTCAAAGCAACAGGGATGTTTAATGAACTATCATATCGTTCGCGAAAAATATACTGGCATAAAAAAATGTCTGCTGAATAATTTGCTTAATATTGGAACACTGTGGCTGATTTCAGATATAACTTTTAGTGTTTTTCATGCTTGCGCCCATCTCGAAGCCCTAAAACCTCATTATTTAAGCTTAGAAATTCATTTTGTCTGCAGCAAGTAAACTTAACAAAATTATTGAGACGATTATAACTGCATATATTAAACTCTACTCTGATTTAATAATACTGGTCGAAAAATCTGTACTACTATGTTTCTAGTATTCAATTTACCGATCTTCATATGTGACAAAGTTAATAGCAATACCAAAATGACCAAATCGACCTGATCGTCCAATACGATGTCTAAAAAAGTGAGAAAAAACTCATTAGTTGTTCAGTTATACGCCGTGACAAAACTTTTAGTTTACAAATATGTTTCAGCCATTCGTGGAAAGTCAAAATTAATAACAACATTCACGGAGTCAACATCAATACCACGAGTTATTAAATCTAAAGTGAAAAGCGACATCTTTCGTTAAGAAATTGATACGTGCGCAGTAAAACAAAACTATATGGGAACAAATTAACAAAAAATCAAATCTCAAGTGGAATTTTCGAGTTTAACGATCCAAAATATAACATAGAGCCATCTTTTTCAAAAAAAAAAGATAAGTAGAATCATTTATTTCTTTTTTCATGCCTATTCAAACATTAATCAAATATCAAATTTTCTTACCTGAACAGACAAGATTTCTAACTTTTTGATTTTGTCTAAAATCATGGAATACTTGATTTCTTGCTTCTTGTCGCATTTTTGCATGTATGTAATAACTTGAATAGCCCAATTCTGCTATTTTTTTTGCTAATAATTCTACACGTTGAGTCGAATTACAAAATATAATTGATTGATTGATTTGTAACTAAAAAGTGATTTAAAAATTGTAATAGAACGTTACATAAACACAATAATCATTAATTACTTTCGAAAATAATGTATTAAGACAATGAACTTTTTGTTTTTCTTGAACAAATGCATAATACTGTGTAATACCTTGTAATGTTAATTCATTCATCAAATTTATTTCATACGGATTTCTCATATAACGTTGCTAAAAATTTATGAATAAAAATAGCAAAAATATTCTTTAGTATAACTATATTTCTACTTACAACAAATTGATCGATTGAAACAGGAAATGTAGCTGAATACAATAATACTTGTCGTTCAGCTGGTATATACTGAAATAATTGTTCACACATTCCTCGAAAATCTTGTGAAAGTAATTTATCAGCCTATAAAATAACAAATAAATTATCTTTTTATCAAAAAAGAAAGAAAAGTAAATGTTATACTTCGTCAAAGATGACCATACTGCACAGATTTGTATTGACCAGATTTTTATTCATTAAATCGTACAAACGACCCGGTGTAGCAACAATCAGATGAACTAAAATAAAAAATAAAAAACCAGATCAGCTTATGATTGTTCATAATAAGCAAATATGGGAAGAATTTTGACAACTAACGAATGGTTGCTATGCCACCAATTATATCTAGATATGCACCGGGTCGAACTACTCGAAAAGTAAAGTCTGTTTTTTTTCTGATGGGTGTTATTCTCAGGCCTCCACATTAAAGAGGATCCCATACTTTTATACTATTTTGCATGTTAACTTCATTTTACATTCTAAGTACAAAGTGAAATTTTTCTTATGGCAAGATACTAAAGCGACATAAGAGTTCAGATTACTTGTGTAAAGTGTAAAATGAAGTTAACATGCAAAATAGTATAAAAGTGTGGAATCCTTTTTAATGTGGAGGCCTGAGAATAACACTCATCAGAAAAAAAACAGACTTTAATTTTCGGATAGCTCGAACTCGGGTAACTCGAAGTTCGGTGCATACCTAATTACATCTGAAAGTGTAGTCATGATGAAAATTTTATACAACAACGTACTACCTCAAGAAACTCATTAAACTCTGAATATAAATAATCAAAATCGTACACCAGATAGTAATTATTAAATATGGAAGCTTAATTTTACCTTTTTGTGCTAATCTTGCAATATCGTCTTTTAAATTTGTACCACCAGTTGTCATCATTATTTTTGTACCAAGATGTTTTGATAATTGTACACATATTTGACCAACTTGTAGGGCAAGTTCACGTGTTGGTACAATCACCATTGCTAAAATATAAAATAAAACAATAACGAACGTTAGATACAAACAATATAAAGTTGTAGAGTTGAAATCACCTTGTACATAATCTTTGCTCACATCAATTTTTTCCAATGTAGGAATTATATAGGCGCCTGTTTTACCAGTACCATTTTTTGCACGAGCTAAAATATCTCGTCCACTTAATGCTATTGGAATTGCGGCTTCTTGAATTGGTGATGGTTTTTCCCAACCCTTTTCAAATATTCCCATTAATAGATCACGTTTTAAAAAATAATCTTCGAATGTATGTCCTTTGGTCGCTGTTACATCCTATAAAAAGATAAACAATACAATATTAACACTTATTATCAAAATAAGGCGTTCTCTCTTCTTCTACATTTTCTTTTTTTATTATTATTTTACTTTTGTTTTTAATCTTGGATCTTTTTTCGGAATTTGAAGTGTTGCTTTCCAATCTGTGTTATCAGTCAGATTACTAGAAATAAAAATTGAAAAAATATTGAAAAAATTAGCAATTAGTTAAACTAACTTACTGGAGACGACCCGATCCACCATTTGACAGTGACGTTGTTTTTGATGATTCGTTGTCTGAGTGTACATCACTCGATCCGTTCATATCAGGTGTTGACATCTGCAAAGAGCAAAGGTTCCTTTTTTGAGAAGAGACAATAATCATTTAGATCCAACAATGATAGATACCACTTATACACTAGTTTGTATACTAACTATATCTGTCAATCCTTTATATGTTCCAAGGAACTTACTTTAAAAGCACTAGCTTATTGGGCTGTACAGAGATAAAGCTGCTGCAAATTTGACGAGATGATACGTGTTATCTAAAAGATCTATTAAAAACTGCAATGGGAAATAAATAATACCACATGTGATATATTATATAGATCTTTGAGACGAGGCCGACGAGTAGAAAATGCTTTTCTTTCATTTGATTCTTTCTTTTAAGCATTTTCTTCAACTTCCGTACGTTTTCGCTCCATCAAGGGTTCGAAAACCTCGTTTGAGAGGCTCAGCGTTAAAACATTGAAGAAAAATAAAATTTATGCTGAAGAATTGGATTTTCAAGAGCCGCACAAAACGTTAATCTGTAGATCAAGAATTTTTGAATATGCAGTGAAAATCCTTCTAGAGGTCAGCAGTTGAAACTGATTAGTCTGTTTTTGAAACCTATAGTAAGTCGTTTTGTGATTGAATGAATCATCATCGTCCTCATATTCTTCTTTTTTCAATTGATTCAAAAGTGCACAAACGGCCAAGCGTATTTCGTTGCTACGGATTCCGTAGATTTTTTGCAGGCGTTTTTTCTTATCTTAAATCCATTGCATAAGAATCTCATTCAATAATTATCCATTCAAATACATGTGAGTTTGATAGATTAAAAATATACTTGGACTGTATTAGCGGTTTGAATAGATGCGTTCTGCACTGATACTGGGGCCTGTTTCTTAAAAAAACTTAAGTAGAAAATCTTACTTAAGTCAAAAAAGACAAAGACTTTTTTGGACTTAAGTCAGATTTTCTACTTAAGTTTTTTTAAGAAACAGGCCCCTGAACTATCTATATATCCTTAAGAATAGTGTCAAAAATAGCTTCGAACCGCTTGATAAAACATTAAAGATTTTGCCATGAGCAGCCTATAATGTATTGTAGTTATTTGAAAGTTTTAATTAACGAGTTTCAATTGAAACCATGAAGAGAATAATTTCTGCTGTATGTTACTCTGTTTTGATTTTTTCTTTGGAAGATAACTACTAAGACAAAAGGAAGAGAGAAACTCACTCGTTAATTATGAATGAACAAAACGGTGGCGTACATGGAACACCATGCTTGCCGGACATTGACAATGATATTACTGGAAATGAGGATTTTATTGAAATGCCAGTGAAACAAAAAACTGCATTTAAGAAAGATCATTGGAATAGTAGCATTTCAACAAAAGCAAATGAAAAAGACTCAAAAAATGATGGAAATTCGACTACCACAACAAAATCAGATAATATTCTTATTCAGTCAGATAATTTGAATCTTCAATCGTCAGAAGAATTTCCTGCACTAGGTAAATAGTTTTCTTTTATATATAAAAATCAAGATTTAACTAGTTTTTATCGCTTGTCAATGGTATTTTTAGTCTCTGAACTTGTTATTGTTGTTGATAAAAAGTATTTTGTTTTTTTTTTCGTTTAGAATCAAACTCATTTATTCGAAGAAAGAAGCATCATTCCTTATCATCGACAACTCCACCAAAACTAATGCCCTCAAATAACCTTTCATTAAATCGTCCTTATTCAAACTACAACAATTATTCGTCTACATCTTATAATTCTTCGTCTTCTGCACGTTTTCATTTTTCTACGTATTCTTATGAAAGTTCATCTCCGCCTTATTCCGCCAAACAACATCATCATCTACGCACCCATAATCAAACAATCGATATACCATTATCATCATTTGTTAATAATCATTCATCACAAAAACATCATCAAATCTCATTAGAACATATCGATTTACGGATAGCTGAAATAATTGTACTCATTCATACAAAACGAGAATATGTTCACATCGATAGTGTAGAACGAGAATTATTTCGACAATATGATGTAAGAGAATGGAAAGAATTAAATTCACAATTAGGGCAGAATCCATACAAATTGAAAAATTTATATAATTTAGGTAACATTAAATTGAATTTATTCTAAAAATTCGACACTTTCAATGAGACTTCTATTATATGTATTTATTTTTTATTTTTATAGCTAAAAAACATCAAAAAATCAAATTATTTTTACAATCTTATTCGTTTCTAAACTCGCTGTGTACATTACATGAATTAGATGAAATTCTAGCACAATTATTTTCAAAAGAAAAATATGATGATTTATTACTGGGCCCGTTACAAGAAAATCTCGATGTTATTAATTATTTTCAATTTCCGAAAAATCGTCCTATACCACAGTTAAAATCTGTTAAAATTCTTGAACTTTTATATCATTTTATTGAACGAGAACAGTCGTGGCATGATCATGTGGATTTCAATGGTTTTGTAAATGAATTAATGCGTATGGTTAATGTAAGAACAAGAGAAGAACTCGGTTTACGAGTTACATCATTTCCATTTCTTTTTCGAGTAAGTACAAGACACACAACGAAGTACAATGTTGAAAGAGCTATGATATTCAGGTAGAATGTAGCTAAAGTATGGTTGTTTATTTTTAGACATTAAAAGATGTTCGTTTTCGATTTGGTTCAGCTATTGCAGAATATTCCCAGCAAACTGAAAAAAATCTAGTCAATGAATATATTCAAATATTACAACAAATTAAAGATGATTTTAAAAATCAAATTGGAAATGAGCATGAACGTAAACTTTTCTATTCTAAAATGACTTGTTCAGCTGTCATTGATCATTTAGTTCAAATTATTGAAAAATATCTTGTGTGTAATGGACAGTCAGAAGTTTTATATTATGTTCAATTATTCAAACAACATAAACCACTTCAATGTTTATTTCACTTAGCTATCTTATTAGGCAGTTATGAACAAATTGATGATATAATACCGCAATTGAAACAACTCTATACACAGTTACCGATACAGCAACAGCAACACTACTATTTACAGCAATATCAACCTCAACCAATAAATTCATCATGTTTACAACAACAAGAACAAGAACTGCGTAAGGGTTCGTTCTATTTTCTCTCACTACAATGTCAAACATGATTTGAGCACAATTCGTCATCTATAGCGGAAAGTTCAATTTAACTTTAGCTTTTTTAGCTCCCCCACCGGATCGGAAACCTATCTCAGCCCACGTATGTCTGATCTGAACCAAACTTTCAGAGAATGTTGACCATGTCAAAGTGTGGTAACGAAATGTTTTCCACTTGCAACTGTGCGTGGGAGGGCACCACAACAAGGGCCAAAAATAGGCGTCTACCACGTGCAAGAATTTTCATTCTAACTAAATGATAGAGAGCTAGAGCTGTTTTTGTTTTGTAGTAAACACATATGGTTAGGAGTTGACAGAGCTCGTTTTTGAATTTCTCATTTACTGATTTCTGGTGCTTAACAGAATTTTAAAATCCAAAAAATCCTTGGAAGGTTTCTTAGAAATCCTCATTTCTATAAAAAATGGAAGCATAATTTAAAAATCGGACTCTGTCAACTCCTACTTACCGGTGTTATCTACAAATTAAATAAAAGTTTTCTTTCTCCGATGTACCGTTACGGAGAATTCCTGCACGTGGCGAAAACCCTGAAGTTAGAAAGCAGTCTTAAGAAAAACGCAAAATAAGTTTTGATCGGTTTTTTCTTAAAAACTCTTTGAGCGTCAAATAATTTGTTGATATTTTGCTAGGGCCTTAAACCTTATCCTCTTCCCCATCAAAAATCTATTTTCAACATAAAATCCTGACCAAACTCTCGCAGAATGTTAGTCTCAGCCAGATTATATTAGGATAAGCATTTACTCTTTCCGAAATTATCTCAAACAGGATGGTCAAAAGGTAGGCGTTACCATTTCACAGATTTCTTCTCTATTTTAAGTGCCTCAAGACTTGAGTTGGCCTTAAAATAACGATGTCATGACTATGACTTATCAGAGTTGGATTTTTGATTTTTTCTCTCAGTTTTAGAGAAAAAATAAACATTTTCAAAAACAACTGGCAAAGCGTTTTTTGAATTTTTTTGAGATAAAACCTCTAGGAAGAATAAATAAACAAAATTTTGCGAATCTAATTCTGTTAACTCATAGCCACAACGTCGTCATTTGAAGACCAATCCGAATCTGGAGACATTTAAAATAGAGAATAAATCTAGGAAATAGCAACACCTACTTTTCCCAGAAGCACTTATGAGAAAAACGAAAACCAAAGTTTAGAATTTTCCAAAATTGATTTTTTTGGCGACGAGTGGCGCAGAAATTAACCAGATTATTATGTGCAGAAATATATGCAGTATATCCTTGTGGCGATAAACTGAATAGCTAAAAAATCATTTGTTTGCCTTGAAACCCTCTCAAAACCCCTTAAAAACCATCGCCTAAGTAAAAAGGCTATAGTGCGTTTGAAAGTACACATTTTGGGCCATAGAAAGATATATAAATTGCAAAATCGCCTTTTTTGATAGTGAGACCTTACGGATACCACTCCCCCCTCCCACAGTGTGCATTTTTTGCGTAGCAGGCGGTCATGTAACTTTTTGTGCTAAAAAACGGGTTTCTTTTGCTCAAAAGTGGCTGTATATCACTTCAAAAACCACCTTTAAGAAAAAAAAGCATTTTTTGAAAAAAAATTGTTTTCGACGAAACACACCTCAGGGGATCCTCACCTACATTTTTTCGAGAAAATGTTTTTGTTAGAAAATATATTGTGTCATACATCATCTGATGCAGTTCCACACGCTGATTGCGAATATGCCATTAGTTTTCAATGGAAATGCTTTGGTGTCTGAAAAAGAGGATCGAGCGTGAAAATCAAGGCTTTTAGGACGTTTTGGAAAACCTACCATTCGGTCTAGAAGCGTCGGCGCTAATTGGCGCTAACTGTGTTGATATGTCATATATAAGACAGCATTCCCTGAAAATTTCATCAAAATTGGAGCTTCGCTAAAGTTCGCGAACGCATTGCATCAAACACACCTCCTGGGAAAATGCGCTAGAAAAATGTTTTATTTTTTTTCTCCAACTTACAAAGCCCAAAAATAGAAAAGTTTTTTACCAATCGATAGCGCACTTGATGCTAATTTCGAATATATGTTTGTTTGCCCAATAGCTATGTTTGATTTTTTAAAATTTTTGCGTATAATCCGATTTTCCGATGGACACGGGTTTTTTGTGTATAGGATTTTCCTAGCTTAGATAAGTTCTAGGACATAAAAATTTTTGCCATTAAGTAGAGCATGTTTCAAAGTATATTAATCATCCTTAAAATTACTGAAAAATCAGCTTTCATTTTTTCATCAAAACCCGGCCTGGATGCACACTGTGGGGGGGGGCGGGGGGGGGGGGGGGGGGGGGGGGGGGGGGGGGGGGGGGGGGGGGGGGGGGGGGGGGGNGACTCTGTTTTGCAGAGCACTTGCGGCTATATCTCTAAGAAAACTCCGCGGAAAATTCTGGAGGCACACTGTGCCCCCCCCCTCTTTTTTTGCAGAAAAATTATGATTTTGAGCTGAACATAGTCTAATGTAGAGGAAAGTATGGGCTATGCAATGAGACCATTCCCAGCTCTCCATGACCTTCCTTGACGTTTACGTTCAGAGCCTAGAAAATCTCAACTTTTTTGGTTCGTAAATCTTTCTCTCCTTTCCTATATATTCAAATTTTTTTCTTATATATAGCATGATAGAAGAAAGTGTGCTCTTCAAAATGAGATGTATTCCAGAATTTTCCGATGAGTTTTCTTAGAGATATAGCCGCAAGTGCTCTGAAAAACAGAGTCCTGTGTATAGTACGTGTTTTTCTTACTATACGTTTTTTCAATAATTCCTTCAATTGGCACGCATTATGACTCCTCGAAAAAAATGGTCCGATAGAGCTCAAAATTTTACCACAGATACTTCAGACCCTATCTCAGGTTCGTTTTTTTCTAAAAGCATTTTCGACTTCAACTTTCGATGTGAGAAGGTTTTTAAAATGAAAAACCGTTTTTTATATGGGATTTTCAGTATTTTTCGTATATCTCAAGAAGGAAAGCATTTTTTTCGAAAAGAATAAAAACGAACCGGAGATAGGGTCTGAAGTATCTGTGATAAAATTTTGAGCTCGATCAGACCATTTTTTCGTGGAGTTATAATGTGTGCCAATGAAAACTGAAGTTTTCCAGAAAACCCATAGAAGAACACGTCAGAAAATTCTGGGCAAAAATACGTCGATTTTCTTTTTCGATGTTCTATCTCTGGTATAAATTAGAACCCGACTCGACATTGGCTTCCTTAGTTTCCGACCGGGTAAAAAAAGAGGGGGAGGATACCCTTAAACAATATTGTTCACCACGATCAGTTAGATTAGATTCATTTTTCTCGAAATTTTAGATAGTAACGATTTATCAGACGTAATCTCTTTAAAATTTTCATTTTTATTCTTTTATTTTTCAGCAGTTGGAACTGAACAAGAACAAGATTCTTCTTGTCCACAACAACATTATCACAGAACGGTACCATTACAAGAAATATGCCGACAGATAACTGATTTTTCTCAAAAAACGGATGGTACACTAACACTAATGAATTTAATGTATATCGAAAAACAAGTGTGTCAAAAATATCAATTAGAACAATTTAGTCAATTAAATTATGGTGATTTCAATCACTTTTTATACAAATATCGTAGTGATATTGGTACCAATCTTGAATTTTATCTATATAAATCCGATTGTGGAATTAAAAGAATTGAATTATTTCGATTTGTTAATAAGTTTTTATATCGTTCATCAACAGATGATCAAGAAAAATTGAGATTGATTGAAAAAGTTGTTCTAAATAAATTTAAATTACAAAATTTGGGACAAATTGGTTTTGCGAATATGAAACAATTATACGAGAAAACATTACAATTTGAAGAAAAATCAACAATGAATATTATACAGTAAGTAAAAATGTTGATATAAAGTATTTACTCTTTCATCTGTTTTCATTATTTTTTTTTTTCTAGATATGAAGAAGCATTATTACAAAATGAATATTTACAAACACTTGACGTTTCTATTCGTGGACCATCTATGAATAGTGATCAATTATGTTCATATTTAATACAATGTCCAATATTACAAGATTTAAATTCATGGACTCATTGGAATCATCTCTTTTTAAAAGAACATGGTTCTTTGAAAGATTTCTTATGTAAATATTCTTATATTCTACAAAAAGACTTAATTTGTTTGGAATTAACAGATGGCCAAATGATTCGTCTATATTCTTCATCCGATCTATCTAAATTTGAACAAGAATTACAATTAGAAAATTTAAAACAAGCTGCTTGTCATTTAATATCATTTTTTTACAGAAGTGATGGACAATATTTATTAAAAAATAAAATTATAACCTGGCTATTAGAGCAACGTTCTCTTGTAAATATGAATAAATGTGAACCATTACGTCCATTTCAACTTGTATTAGAATTTCTATGTTATTTACCATGTTTATTTTCTCAAACAATTATAAAAACATTAATATTAGAAACACTTGAGTATGTCTTTGAAGAAAAATATGGAAATTCTAAAGTTATTCTATGGCAATTAACAGAAAATAATTTACAGAGACGTTTGTACTTGGAAGAAATTGGACTAACACTTGGCATTGTTGAATGGACAAAAATGTTAAATGATAATATTCAAAAATCGATAGATAAAACGGCAAACTCTGACCAAGAAATAACAACAATCACAAATATTGAAGAAACATCTGTGTTTTCGTTGAATAATAGTAATGACAAAGACTTTAATGAACAAGAAATATCTGAATTAAAGGAAGAATTTTTAATAGAGAAAACTGGTATGCATAAATACTCATATACATTAGACGTGTAGGTGCCAAACTTAGTATGTTCAATGCCGAGTTTACGGTTCGAATAGTGAGGCCCTATATTTGCGTTTGGTATATCAACTATTCTTATCTATTTAGACTCATTGTTGAATGATGTATCTGTTGCTGAATCTGGTGTGGCTATGAGCGATGATCATAATCAAACAAGTTTAGTAGTAGATGTAAACAATGCACAACAATCGAGAAGAGATTTAGCTTATTGTCATATTGATGACATTCGTTGTATTCGATTTGGAGAAAATAGCGGTTTAGATGGAACCGGTCGGTTATTAGTGGAAAATTTACAAGGTATTATTGAACGAAGTTTAGAAAAATTAGCGAATGATTTATATTCTGAACAAACACATTTTGTTTTGGAATTATTACAAAATGCTGATGATAATCAGTATAATGAAAAAACTATACCAAAAGTAAAATTTATAATAACAAAAGAAACAATTTTATTGTGTAATAATGAATCGGGATTCACAAGAGAAAATATTGATGCTTTATGCAATGTTGGACGATCAACAAAAGGTATTTTAATACGAAATTCAAGAATTGTTGAATATTATGCCGTTTAATCTGCTGTATCTTTTCCCATTTAGGTAAACATAAGGCAGGTTATTCCGGTCATAAAGGTATAGGTTTTAAAAGTGTTTTTAATGTATCACTTTGTCCAGAAATTCATTCAAACGGTTATCATATTTGTTTCGATGCAAATCAAGGACAAATTGGTTATGTGTAAGTATCATATGTTTAGCGTGAGTGTGAGATTGGTTTTTCCTCTTTATGTAAATGTCGTTGTATCTATTTAGAAAGCCAACATGGATGTTTACGTATGATTTATCATGTGAATCGGATTCTAATTGGGCAACATATATAAAATTGAATTTAAAACCAGAAGTTCAAGATAATTTAAAACGTAAATTTCAAGATATTCAATCACCACTGTTGCTCTTTTTACATCGTTTACAACAAATTGAAATTGTTCATGAGGATCATTCAAAAGTATTTACACGCAAAGATCATAGCAATGATATTATTGAATTATGTGAATTAGATTCAAATGCAGAACCAATACGACATTATTGGCTTGTTATTAAAAAAAAACTGGATATACCACAAGAACTACAAGTATATCGTTTGTTTGTTACTAAAGCTGGTACTTCTACAGATCGATCACTTCCCTACCACTACCATCACTCATTCTCACCGCTACCGGCGCTCACTTTTACCACTAGGGAGGTGATCGATCTGTAGAAGAACCCTAACGCTGACATAGATATGAATATAACAAATGATCCTAAACTTTCTGGATAATTCTGATATAGAAAGGATTAATGTTCCTGCAAAAAAAATTTTTACTGTCACTTATTCGGCACCGGTGTGCACCAGTGCCAGAAAGATTTTCAAGTTTTGCACTGATGCGAATTGATACTTTTTCATTGGCAGAGGTGTGCACCGCTGCCGGAAAAGTTCCAAATTATTTTTCAATCACCATTTTGGTTTGTCGACGTCCGTCTGTATAAACACTACAGAATACTTGTAATGTTTCGAATGCCCTTTTGACTTAATTTCTTCCTTCTCGTAAGAGAAGTGCTGAGGCAGTGTTGCACGATTACGCGGCTTGTCCACATAACTCGGTACTTCGCTGATCAAGTTTTTGAAAAAATTATTTTAGGGTAGAACTGAAAGAAGCACATCACTAGATATAGTTTTTGATGCTAATTACGAATCTTACATTATTTTTTTTAAAAAGTTAAATTTTGGCGGCAAAACTCCAGTTTTACGTTTTTTGAAAATTGTATTTTCAATTTCCTGATCTAGACACCTTTCCTTAAAAAATGGAAGATCACACTAGTCGATAGAGAATTCGATTCACTACAAGATGGTTTAGACTCAAAACAAGCTTTTTAATAAAGTTTGAAGTTTTGAGATTCTCGGAAAATTTCTAAAGAAGTGAATACATTTTTTCGACTTTATTTTCATTTTAGTCTATAGCAGATGCCAAGAACTACGTTCGATGTGAAAAGCAAATCCTTTGAGCAATGTTTAGTGCTCCAAAACTTGTTGAGAGAAACGTGTGTCACAGCGTCACGGCGCTAAAACACAATTATTGAGGGATGGGAAGCTCATCGGAAAATCTTTTTTTTAGTAATCAATAGCTCGTTTCCTCCTCTACAAACTTTGCTTCAGACGCTTTTTATTAGGTCTTCTAAATTCGGAGCAAATTAGCTTTTACTGAGAAGAACTTCGAATTTAGGGCCTTTTTTTGTCACAGCGTCATGCACCGACAAATGGTTCTAAAAATTCGAGTCTTTAACCAAATACCTTCGTTTTTATATCGAAAGTAGAGTATGGCGAGCTGCGTTGAATGGCGCAAGAATGAAGTTTCTAGCTCATATAGTTTTTGAGAAAAGCTCAATTTACTGTGTCAAAAATGTCACAGCGTCACGCTTGGACAAGCCCTACGGCATACCAGTGTAGTACTGGTACATATCGGTGCTGTACTTTAACTAATACAAAAGTAAGAAAATACAACTATAATAAAGAACTGACTAAATAGGTTTCAATGCGGCACTGAATTTTACCAGTGCAGCACCTTTTTGGCATATATATATCGGCACTGCCTAGCACGAGTGCCAGTCGGCATTTGCTGGGCACGGGTGCCAAGAAGGGCCAGTGATCGACGGCATACCATGCGCACCGGTGCGCACTGGCAGTGCCACATTGATTTTTATCAGTGTCGCACTGGAATTTTTTTTGTAGGGGTTGGCGGCATGTTTATTTGTAGTAAAAAAGCAAAAAAGGAGATATCGTTCAAAATACTTTGAATCATCAACTAAAACAATTTTAATTTAGTTTAATTCTACAGCCGTTTATCAGTTACTAGAGACTCAAACAGAACTCATTACCGAAAGAATCAAGAGGAGATACTACGAGCAGTTTTGACCTTTCTCAAAGGTCTCGTCAGGTGGCTTTCTTCGAGAAAGATAGAGTCAATACACGACCAGCAGCACAACTCCGTCCACACCGTGCGAGGGTGTTACTATTCCTTGTTCTCATCGAACAAAGACTGATAACTTTCACACGATGAAAATAAAACACAATATCACTGGGTAGTGCACATATTCTGCTCCTCTCCATTAAGTATTTCTTTTCATTCTACCAAAAATGATTCAAACTTTAACATAAACTGTATCTGCTAACTTTCACTCAACAAACGTTGAGACAAATGTGAAAAGCAGAAGGAAGCCACCTGATGAGACCCTTGAGAAAAGTCAAAACCGGTCGTGGTATCGTCTTTTAATTCTTCAGAAATAAATTCTGTTTGAGTCTCTGTTGCGGTTGTAAGCGGTTGTAAACCTAAATTAAATTAAAATTATATCAAGTCGAGTTTCACATTTCATACAGCTAGAACAAGTTTATATACTTTTTCTGTTGATTCCACCACAAAAATGGAACAATTTTCACATGTATTATATATCATATTGTTGTTTTAGAGTTATTACTATCTTTTTATGTCGAAATGACCGAATTTTATTACTTTCAAATTCAGAGAGATCTTTTGCAATGGTGTCGCTAAACATTCTCTTCTAAACATTTTGGAAGATTTTCTACTATTCCTTGATTATAGCATCTTCACTTTCTGAAAAAACATTGTACATTGTGCAGAATTTTCTTAATGTACATTTTGTGATTTCAACACTCTACTTTAGTCCAATTAAAAAGACTTTTTCCAGAAACTTCAGATTTACAGATTATTATTTATCATTTTAAGTATGATTATTCTTGAATATGTTAAAAATTTTCTATTGTCTCTTTGTTTTAGTCAAAATTACGTGATATAAAATCGGATATTATTTCAACAACTGTTGCATGTGCATTTCCATTAGATTATCTATCTGATTGTATAAAACATCCTTATTTTCTACCACCAACTCAACCGGTTTATGCTTATTTACCATTACGAGGCTATGGTTTTCGTTTTGTATTACAAGCTGATTTTGAAGTACCATGTAATCGTCAAGAAATTATGCGTGATATGAATGAATGGAATGATTGGTTAAAATCACAAATGTCCGATTTACTTCTATTAGCATATGAACGTTTTGAACAATTACCAAAAATATTAAAAGATTTAAAAGATATTGATGCTGTACAAACAATTAAATATTTTTTAAAATTTATTCCATCTAAACAAGAATGTGATCCATGTTTTCATGGTCTTATTGAAAAAATAATGTCTGTACTTATTGGTAAAATAAAATTTCCTGTTGAAAAAGAATATGATCAAGATGATGTTATTGAATGGTATCCACCAAATAAATGTACCTATGTCAAAGATTTATTTATTCGAAAAATATTATCATCTGAACTATTATCTAAACATTTAGATCGATTTTATTTACATCAACAATTTAATGATATTGATGAACATTTACTATATAAATTTGGTGAGTAAAAATAATGTGTATTATAATTAAAAAAATTAATGATCAAATCGTTTTGTTTATTTTTATATTTCTTTTAGGTGTTCAAAAATTATCTACATTTGAAATATTACATATAATTGATACCGTATTTCTAACTCATCATCATCATACAATTGAAACATTTCCTATAATACAAATTGCTCAATGGTTATTATGTTTAGATTATTGTCTTCAAAGTACAGCAAGTTGTTCTTCTTTTGCGGTTATTGATGATGAACAACAACTTGAATTACAACAATTATATGAAAAATTACGTCATTTAAAATTTATACCAATTGAAAATCAATCGGCATTAGTATCAACATCAGAAATGACAATTTTTTTTCCCGTAGATAATTCAAAACAATTTGTTAAATATTTAAAATATTTATATGATGATTTACCACGAGTAAATAGTGATCTTTTACTTTATGTAAAACAAAATTATCCATTACGTTATGAAACATTTGTACAATTATTAAAAAACTTAGGCATATTAGAAACATTGAATCTTGGTGAAATGTATGAAAAACATATTTATCCAATATTTCAAACCGGTTTGTATTCATAATTTATTTTTCTTTTAATTAATATTAATTATTTTTCTCTTATTTATTTATATTTAGGTCAATGGCAAACAAAATCAGAACGTATTTTAATATCATATTTACTATGTGTCTATCAATATTTATATAGAAATCAACATTCAACATTTGATATTTCAAAATTTTGTTCAGTTGTTCAAATAAAAACACGTGAAAATAAATTTTGTAATCCAAAACAAACACAAATTCATTTAACAGTTAAATATGATTCTTATTGTAAATTAGATGAAATTAAAATTTATGATTGGGTATTTATATCAGATGATTATGCTGATTATTTAACAACTTATAAAGTATCAACAAATAAATGGAAAACATTTTTAGAAGAATTAGGACTTAATGAATTTTTAAAAATACAATCTGTTGAATATCGTAAGCCTATTGATTATTATCCTTTTCTAAAAATGAGGCGACCCGACAGAATACTTCTCACGTTTGAACAAAAAGTGATAGAGACATGCGATTTTCACCGTTGGATAGAGAACATCGGGGGACGTAAGTGTATGCAAAAACTAGGCTTCCAGGTAAGGTTTACCATGGTAAGCCTTTCGATGCAAAGTCTACGAGACCACCGTTCCTAGACCGTACGATGGATTTTGATTTTCAAACAGTGTAAATCGATGGCTCGAACCGAGATCTACAATTCTAGACCAGTCTTTACTCTCTATCTTTTATGATTCAGGAGCTATAAACATTTTCCTGAAAGCCCCGATTTCGGTCAGTTGACGTTGAGTGATCCTAAAATTGGTCAAGATAAAGGTGATCAGCTACGCTGAGTCGAGTGGTGCTGTTTATTTTTAATTTCAAACCGATTTAAAGTCACTATATCAAGATTTTCAAATTAAAGCAGTCTACCACTATGTTGTGTATAAAGTGGATATTTCAAAAATCTTGAATCATAAAAGATAGAGAGTAAAGACTGGTCTAGAATTGTAGATCTCGGTTCGAGCAATCGATTTACACTGTTTGAAAAACAAAATCCATCGTACGGTCTAGGAACGGTGATCTCGTAGACTTTGCATCGAAAGGCTTACCATGGTAAACCTTACCTGGAAGCCTAGTTTTTGCATACACTTACGTGCCCCGATGTTCTCTATCCAACGGTGAAAACCGCATGTCTCTATTACTTTTCGTTCAAACGTGAGAAGCATTCTGTCGGGCCGCCTCGTTTTCAGAAAAGGATAATAGTAAAAAATATTTGAGAAAAAATAATTGAATAGATTTTCTATTTTAGATTTTTCATCCATTTCTAAACTAGAAGATACAAAATGGTCAAATCTAATTCCAGAATTATCAACAATTTGTTATGAACAAGAATTAATTTTAGTTGATCATGAATGTGATGAATTTAATTTAATATTAGAACACGGTGCACAATTAGATAAATTTCAACTTTACTATGATTCTTGTCGAGAATTATTAAAATGTATATCACAAGCCTATCATTATATTCAAAGATTTTTTTCTATTCAATTATATACAAATTCAATATCAACACATCGTAATTTGATTCTATTGAATACAACAGCAGGTAATACAATTTTTTTATCTACAATTATTAATCATTAATTTATTTATATCTTCAGATTCTTCATTTTGTTTGAATTTAAAACACAAGGAATGGATACCATCTATTTATATTCAACGTATTTATAATTCTCAATTAAAACAAATTGAAATTCAAAAATTACAACAATTATTAAAACCATCCGATGTTTACATTCGTTCAATACAAAATCAACAAATTCAACAATATCTTCAAGATCATTTTCCTTATATTGAAATATCAAATTTAGATACACAATTAGTAAAACATATTGGACTACATGATACAATTGATCAATTAGATGTTGTTAAATTATTGTTAGATTGGTGTAATCCAGAGACTGATGTCACATCAGCAACATTATTAAATTTAACACAACAAGATGTAAAAACAAATCATATTCATCAACAATTAGTGAGACCACCAATAAGATATCATGAAAATTGTCGAAGACAATTTATTGATACACTTGAACATATGAGTAAGTAACCATAAAGATATCTCGATCAATAGACAAAGATATATCAGATCAGACAATTTCAAAATTTACTCTTGCGATGATTTCCTCATAAATTTGTATAATTATTTGTAACAGTATCGACTTCCATGAAATTTTCATCAGACAAAATTGTATATGGAACAAAACAAGATAAATTGTATAATATATACATGTATATGATAAAACTGTTCTATTCTTATCCTTTTGATCTGCTATTAGTCTGATGGTGGATCGAATAAGATAGTAATATTGGATAAATAATCGACAAATCTGTTTCTTCTGATCCACTATCTAACGAGTGCGCCAGGATAAATGTCCCTCTACGTATTCTCTATTTTCCTCGTGTTTCTTTAGTACCCTAAGGTTAGTGCTTTTTTTTAAAAGATGCGCCGCGAAATACTCTACAAAACCATACTTAAACTTTAATTTCAAAACTTCGATGAAGAAAACTACGCAAATTATACGAAAAAAATGAAAACTTTCCAGACTCAAAAACGATTTCTGTGTTAACATTTTGAAAGTAAGAAAACGGAATCTGCCATTATGTAGCCCTGACTTCGCTCTACCTTTCAGCTACACTTCAAATTTTTTCACGTCAAAATCCATGGAGAAATAATGATTTTTCGATCTGTTGTCACGCAATTTTTTATTTTTAAATTCTGCGTATAGTGGTGCTTTTAGTAAAAGTTCCATAACCCCATCAAAATAAAAGATTTTTTGATCGGGTTTGTTTTGTTTTGATTAGAAATGATTGCTCTTCTCTACCTAACTGCAAAAGCAAAACTTCAATGGTGTTTTTCGTTTCTTACTTGGACACATTTGTTGGAAACGCGGGGCATCTTTTAAAAAACCACTAACCTTAGAGTTCTAAATAAACACGAGAAAAATAGAAAATATGTAGAGGCATATTTATCCTGGCGCACCCGTTGGTTTACATATGACTATGAGGAAAACAGAAAAATCAATTTTCTATATACAACATTAATAAGAGATAATAATAATAACAACATCGTAGCGGCGTTTATCCGTATCTACGCATTTGAGGTCTTTTGTACCATCTGGAAAATGAATTTTTACAGCAAAAAAGTATTCCATCTACTTTTTCTGAGGTATTGTGCCGCAAACGTCTCATAGGATAGACACCCCTGTAACATTGGAGTCAGATGGTTTTGAAAACAAACAGTATCAGAGAGAGTATTAAACGATGAATTGTGCAATCAAAAATCGATTAGGTGGAACGCTGTTAAAAGTATGGCATGCAGAAGATTTTTTTTCGTATTTTGTTGTCATGGTTGGATAGAGTTCTATCTCATTTTAATCACTAGATCTATGGGAAACAGTTAAGCATCGATTTCAAAAAAATTTTGTATCGTTTCGGAAAGCATTTATTTTTTGTTTTTATGCAATTGGATTAGCCGTTCGAAGTCCGATATTGTTTAATAAAAACATGAAGACCGTCTTATACGCACCACTATCTATGAATAGGAGATTAAAAGAATAAGAACAGAACAGTTTTCGTTCTGTATAAGAAGTTTTTTAGTCAGCAATTCCTCTTCTTCTAATGACAGAGCTGTGATCAGAAAAGCTGAAAATAGTTCCTAAAATAAGTTAGTTCCTAATAATAAAGTTCCTAAAATCAGTAAAAAATTCCAACAAGTAGCCACTGAATTCGATAGAAAAGAAGAATCTGTAGAATTGGCAAACCTATAATATTTTCATAAAAAGATTAAAATTCTTTTGTTGTAGGTAATTTGTACTTCTTCATCTTCGATTGTTTAAAGAATGAACATTTTCGTTCATGGCCAATTGTGTTTGTTCCACGAGAGAATCTGTATGTATTACATAACATTCCACCATCTCTTACGACACATCCTGTGTACACACAAAAATTAAAATCAGAATATTGTCTTGGTGAATTTCTTTACTTGGATGAAATATATTGGGACGATCCAACGGGTATGCTAAATAAACATTCCATCCATGTACAAATTCAACAACGTCATTTAAGTATATATTATAATGAATTAGAGACACTCTTTACAAGAATATTAAAAATACCACTAACACCAAAAACAAAAGATTATTATCCACTATTAGATAAATTAATTTATTCTCATGATTATGATTCATGTTTAAATGATGTTTGGAAGATATTTGAAATATTTGCTCAACATTCAACCGATCAACGAGAACGAATTAAAAATCCAAATGAAATTAATAATGATGGAGATGAAGAAGAGGAAGAAGAACACTATATCAATGAACAAAAAGCAAAAGAAATTATTGGTAAGTTAGACTACTCTAAAGCACTGGTAATAACTTTAAGGCACTTAAAACGAGTATAGTTAATTTTGTCCGCTAGACGTGATTATAAGATCGAAAAAAAAATTAAAAAGCACGTTTTGTCCAGAAGCTGTCTAGAAACCCTCTCAGAAAAGTATGGATTCTCTACATTCGTTTCTGTAGATTTCTTATAAATAGAATGCAAAATAGTTTGAATACTGTCTATCCAGAAGTTTTGAAGTCATTCTGCCGAATTTTCCAAAGATCTACTAGGAAACCTAATTAAAAAAGCCTTCTGTCTACTTATGGAAACGTGCTCCCCTCCATACAAGTCTCATCGTTCGTGTGGCGAAAGCCGGACCTCTCAAGTTGCTTCTACCGAAAATTGTGCATGCTATATGCTATATGCAATACTGCTTCTTGGTATGGATAGTAGTTGCGTTTTTCACCCAAAAAATGCCTCTTTACACTGAGACATGATTTCCTACCTTTTTTGTAGCTACTTTGACCTCAAAGTTGTTGTATTTGAATACTGTATTTCAGAAAAAGGCAGAAAAGCGCGACACCTTACACTGAAAGACTTGAGAACTGATGAAAATAAAAGTTAAAAACTTCTTAACAGAAGAGCGTAGAAAGATCAAAGTAGACTTTTCTTCCCAAAACGATTCTAAACTAGTAGACAAAACCTTTTAGGTTTAAAATTTGTCTAAAATCTATACCAAGATTCATTTTTCAAAGTTGAAAATACCATGTCTTTCGCAGTGGTAAAAAATATATTCAACTTTTAAACTTCATTTTTTCAAAAATATTTTTACTCTTTCAACCCAAAATTTCATTTTTGAAGTGACAAAAGTGAGTTTAAAAAGTTTTTCTTCCTTTAAAATATAGTCCGTAACATTCTCTATTCTAATTTTTATTTTTATTTTCCAGTATCGAAATGAAGTGACATTTTAATTCAGGTTTTGACATTGTTTAAGAATCTAAACACATTTGGTATCACACCAAGAGCTTGATACGTTAAAGTTTTAATTACTATTACCATATATATTCTACTTACGGTAGGGCGAATTTTTGATGCCGTAATTTATCAAGGTCTTGATGTCACACATAATGCATTTCGATTCTGAATCATTATTGAAAACTAAGCAAAAATATTTGACCTCATTTCCATACCCTCATTAGATCAAAAGTAACAGAATGTCATTTCAATCAATTAGATTCGTTCATAATCACATATATATATTATTTTTTTTAAACTTTTATTTTTACTTATAGATGCACTGAACGATTGTCCTTGTATTCCTACATTGGGCAACAACTATGGTTGGATAAAAATAAATGATAATCCGTTGATGCCAAACGATATGGAAATAGCGAATTTATTTCATGATCTTCTACCTTTAGTTCGTTTACCACGTATGTCTATCATTGATCATTTTTTTTTTAACATGGATATAGTAGAATTACTATAATCTTTATTTTTAAAAAGTTTGAAATTATCTTAGTCTATTATTTGTATTTTTCTAGAAAATTGGCCAACAACTAAAGCTCGACGTTTTTGTGAAATGTGTCGCTTTGAAAATCTGACTGATCAATTAGAATCTAATGTTTATGTAGATAATAAAGAAATTTGTAAACATTTACATGACTTTTTTTCAACAGCTATATATTATATTCAACTTTACTTGTATACTCGTATGACTGATTTATCTCAAACATTTATTGATCGTCAATTAGATAAAAAATTTTCAAAAATTCAATTTTGGCTGGTGGATAATCCAATTGAAATACATTATATTCACAAGAAACAGACACATCTTCGAGCAAAAAAACAGTTTGATGTCTATATTCATGATGATAATATTGGACTTAAATTTTATTTATTAAAAAAATATGAATATAGTGAACGACGTTATCTCGATGCATTTATTAGTTATTTAATACCGTTAACAAGACAAGAATTTGATCCAGAACGACAAGAATTAACACATTTTTGTAGAGATATTCTAAATGAATATAAATATCGAGGAGTGACAGGTAGATACAATCATAGTTAAGACATAAATATGTCTTTTCTATTTTCGAAACTTTATAATTCGCGACACGTTCCATTTAAAGAAAACTTTCTATTTCTTTCTCTTTTCAAAAATTGTGTCAACTTTTTCATATAAACTAAATAGACTTCTCCATTTAGGTATTAAAAAATATTTGATCAAAGAAGAATTACCTATTGAATTTCCAGTGAATAATGCTATTAAATTGTGGACAATAGCTCCCATACAAATTAATGGTAGTATGTATAATAATTTTAAAGAAATGAAAACAAATGAATTATTAAATTTAAATCAAGTATTAATCAAAACATTAACGGATGAACCATTACTCTTACCAAAGTCAAATAATCCAAATTTATTACAACAGACAAATACATTAAAATGTATGCCATCTGGTGTTGGACGATCATTGTCAATAGGATTAGAAAATGAAGTCGAATCATTATTATTTAGAAATAATAGTAATACATCGCAACAAGATTCAAGTGAATTACGGCAATATGAACAAAATAAACAACGAAAAACACTGTCTGAATCAGATACAACAGTTTCATCAAAAACTCGAAGAAGAAGACGAAAAACAGAAAATAATAGTGAGCTAAAGACGAATTACTATCCGTTCCAAAATACAAGAGCCCTGGTCATTTCTTG